TGTTTAACCCTTCAAGTCATACTAATGTATGCTGTTACCAAATCATTGTATAAGATTGTTTAACCCTTTAAGTCTTATGTTTCTTATGTATTTTACTGAAACCACACTCTTATACGATGTATGCATTACCAAATCATTGTATATTAGAAACAGAATCAATTTGAACCGTGGCGGATAAATCCGTCATATTATGGTGCCACTATATAATATTGTATATTGATTTGTAGTATAGAAATATCTTTATTTTTCTTTATTCAGGTTGCATATTCTGTGCAAGAACCGAGACCTGACGAGGATGGATGTCAGCCGCAAATGCAATTGCAACCGTCGACTGTGTTGGGTCTGGTTCCTCTGGTTCCTGCGAGAGCAGCCTACAAGGAACTCCAGTTGATCGACGCCCTTCGCATTCTTGTGCCGCATCCTCCGCTGTTTCCGCTCTCGCAGATGCACATCCCCGTCTTCCTCGAACGCGAGAAGTCCAAATCCATTTCCGCCGTTGTCATAAGGTGAGTGCCAAACTGAATCAAGACATCACGTCCTTCCTTTGACACTATCGCAACTGACAAATTGGTTTGATGCGAAGAAAAAAATAAAAAAAGAAACCGTTTTGCACGGGAAGTAAATAAAATATTGAATGCAGAGCAGATTTTTCCACGACTTGCATGAATATTTCTATTTCCTGGCGGCAGTAAATACGGATTTGAGTGTTCGATTGCATCAGATTTTGTGCATTTGTTAAATGAATGGTCTATCTTCTTACATCATAAATATTTTTTTTATAAAAAAATATTAAATATTTACTCAAATCCAAATTCTTAAAAAGTTATGTAACTTAAATAATGTAAATACTTAGAAATAGGTTAGAAAAGTACAAATAACTAGTAAAAATTAAGTTTTTCATGAAATGGTTTCTATCCTTATATAATATTATGTAACAAATTGTCCAATATTTACTTAAAACCGTTTAATCAATGATTTTAATTAAAATGAAAGAAGATATCACAAAGTAATTAAAATTAACATTACATAACTATTATGAAGTTATTACAGAGAAATTTGATTGAAAACTATAGAGAAGTGGTTGAAATTAAAGCTTTTAGTAAAATAATGATGAAAAAAACTAGGAAAAATTAAGTTAAATAATTGCAAAAAAAAATAAAATAAAAACTGAACTTTTATTATATTGTATTTATATAAAGTTACGCAAGATTTTATCATAACATTACATTTATCATTACATAATATAGTAAAACACTAGTATTTTATTTTTTACGTCGTATGCGTTACAGTTGGATATTTTAAATATATTTCATATTTACCGCTCTGAGTCTGGGGTCTACATTCATCAGATACTAGTGATAAAGTTTAAAGGGAATCAGAGCTGTACTAAGTGCGCTTGAATTGGGAGCAAACATCGCCCGGGAATTGAAGTTTTCCAAAATGCGGAAAAGGAAATAAGTCGCATTGAGACAATGGGAAAAGTTAATACTCGTATAGACGTCGCAAGGAATTGAAAACTTTTATACAATAACGGCTAGAATCGTTACAGAACTGAGAGAAATATATATATATCAGGTTGTAAACAAATATTTTTCCAATTTTAGTTACAAATGAAATAATTACTTTTTGTCCTTTAAAAAAAAACTATTTTAAGCACAGAAAATAGTACAATTTAATTTACTAATTGGTTTCAATTATTTGTGTTTTTAATTAGAAGTATTTTTATTCATTAGATTTTCAACTAAAAAAACTAATGAAATATTGAATATTTTATTATGAAATTGTGTATAAAAGTAAGAAATTCGGAGTAAATATAAATAAAAGTTAAGGGGAAAATAGCTATAAATCAGTCAGTTGTATATAATAATTTATTTCTTGTGGAAACAACAACTCGATTTCGTAACTAAAGTTTTCGTATACCACCAAAACATTCAAATAAGAAAAAAAAAAACGAAATTCTCATCTAAATATAATTTCACCCTGACACGAAATACCGACGTTAACATAAACTAAGAGATAGTTTCGAGGGCGGCGGTTCTACACACACGTCGGCGTCAAATTGGGGGTGCATTTGTTCCTTCTCCCTGAAACTACTACTATTGTTCGACTTGATGAAAAGTTGCTGTAGATACGGTTTTTCACCATTTGCAAACCATTCGGAATGTCGATGCGCATTCTGTAAATTGAAAACGTGATTTAGGAGCGAGGCCGTTACTCATCCGAGCCAAATGATTATTAATTACTCACATATTTCTCCTACACTTCTCTGACACTCTTCATCTCTCTTTCGCGTGCTTTTACATACATATACACACACATTGGAAACCGAAACAAATGCGTTCTTCTATTTATATAACCCGCGTCTCATCCGCAACTCTCATCGCTTTAATTACAGCCCATAAATTTATACACATCATTCCTTGCGAAATAACATTTTCATTTTAACAAAAATCGATTTATTCTCATCACATCGAATACAAAAAATCCATCAATATATTTTCATTGATGATGAAAATACACATCAATAATTATTAAATTTATAATTAATAAATAAAACTTTATCAGAATTTATTTGATTAATTAAATTAATTAATTTAATTGAGAACAGAATTATTATTTTTGTTTTTAATAAAAATAGATAAAATTCCTGCAGTTTTTCTAATTACTTATTAAATCTACATAAACTAATTATTATTAATAAAATTATCCAACAATTTCCTTAATTTATTACAATAAATGGAGATTTATAGCAATATGAAAAATTATATTGTAATATTTTGTATGACAATGTTTATGTAAAATGATGACTATAAAGCTTAAATGTAAATGTTATCGTAAACTCTGCGTAATAGTAATGAAATTCTACCATACATAACTTTCAAGAATTTTGAAGACATCGTAAATCTCTCGCAATTTGTTTCTATTTACATAAACATTTTAATGTGTAATTACTGTCTAGTTTATAACGTTGATATAATTATTCATTTTACATTTTTATTTCTTAATTTACACATTTTTATTGGTCTTTTTCTACAGAATAATTTCAATTTTTATTTAATTAGCAGACAAGTTTACAATTAGCAAATTATAATACTTAAATACGTTCATAATATTGAAAAATGCATTGAAATTAATTTAATTTAATGAACATACGTATTCTTAAGTTGTTTATTTCTATTATATAATTTTCAAATAAGTAAATAAAAAATGCATACATTTTCATATAATTTAAAATATTAACTTATTTCTTATTTTTTCTTAACAATAGTTTACAAAAGTAGCAAAAAGGGTAGTTTTTTCCTACATTTCTATATAGTTGTGATTTATTGATACAAAGTTATAATGTTTTCGGTTCATGCTGTAAAATTATGTTAGGAAGATATTATTTACGTATATAATTTGTTTATTTCTAAAAATAGAGTATTCATTGTTAGTTTTTTTAACCCTTTGTTACTCGCGTGGAGTTTGTGAGACACAATGGATTCAATACTAATAATAAATTTTAATAATGAAAAGGTGGGGCTGCGATAATTAAGAGTAAAATATTAATAAATTACATAAGCTGCAAAAAGGATAGTTTTTTTTCCTAACATTACTATATAGTTGTGATTGATACAAACTTATAAAGTTTTCAGTTCAAGCTGTGAAATGATGTTAGGAATATAACATTAGTTTTTCTTGCAAAAAAAATAAATGTTTGGAAGGGATGAACTGAGATTTATAGCTTCATCGATTGCAGTAAAAGGCTTTGAGAAACGTATCCGAATATACATTTATTTATGTAATGCGGCAATAAATGTAGTAACGCCTGAGAATAGAAGCCTTGTTCTCCCATAAGCAACATTATTTAAATATGCATTGAGATTATTTCTGTTTGGAAGAAGTTTCAGATTCTTCCATTTCAGTGTGTTAGGCTTAATGCACAATGTTAGTTGTGAAAGAATGAAATATAGATAGTGTAGATTCTACACCGTAGAGATCGGAGTTTGGAAACAAGCTCTATTCATTGGTATAAAGTTTTGGAGAACAGATTAAACTTTGTACTTTAGATATCCGACGCTTTGAAATTGAAAAAAAAAATATTGGAGAGGGTAGAGTCATTGTCGCATTGTGGAAGTTAACAGATTGAACTATCTTTAATGTATCTGATGAGATTGGGTTTGCGCGACTGCCCTTTTTGCACAGACTTTGCAAAGTCTATTAGCATATAAATGAGAGTTAAAGTTTTTTTTTTGACGCTTTCATTAAAATTTATATATTTAGTTGCTAAACTGCGAGCAAAGAAAACGATTTACCTGTATCATATTATTTTTTTTGATTCGTATTATTGATGTTGAAAGTCGATGAATCTAAACCCAATAAAAGGCGAACACCTTTTAATGTGTGCATTCTGGTGGTAAAATATGGTTGAGGGTAAAAACGGTAATAATGATGAACGTTTCGCTCCCGACCCCATAGATTTCAGCCCCATTTTTGTTGATATTGTTTGTGTCTTGATGGCCGCAAAACACGCGAGTTTGAAATTACGAGATTACATGTACAAGAGCATTTTGGTCACCCCTCAACTTTAATATTTATTCTTTAGATTGTATTTTCATGTACAACGAAAGAACGCATTAAAAACCACAAAAAGATCCAGTGATAAAGTCTACATTCTTTACATGTAAGAGTAATTGCAGCAATAAGTTAAACATTTGACGAGACTTGATTTTACAGTTTTAAAGAAACTTTACAATTTCTTGAACAATTTTTTTTTATAGAAATATCAAGAAAATTTTAATAATATTGAATTTTCTTTCATTTAAATAAATAGTTTAACACTTTAGGGATGGAGACTTTTTAAGGCCGCAGTTTCAACTGTGTACAGAACTAAAGTCAAAGTTATGACAGCTTCTTCTGGATTGGGCGAATATATCCGCCTCTCTTACGAAAAGGGTTAATAATATAATTCTAATTTATTGAACAATTCTACTTTTCATAATTTAATTAATACATGAAAAAAATAATAATTTACAGTTTTCAAGAAAGACAAAAGTTAAATTTTACAAAATATAATATATATATATATATATACAAACTATATAAAATAATATGGTGTTGATGCAGAACTTAATAAACTACTATTGTGTTGAGAATTTCTCTCGATAGTTCCAATAATAACATCATCAAACTAAGTGATTTCTTATAAAAGCTATTAGAGTTGCAAGAATATAATCCAATGTAAACCGCAAGAAACAGCGTTCTGAAAGCTTGCCAAGACATCGATTTGCTTCTTCTGCCGTTGCAGCATTCCATCTTACGGCAGGAACAGGTGGCCAAATTTATCACCAAACACAAGACGCAAATACCAATCGATGCGTCTCCCTTTCCAACAAACCGATTTATTTCATCCTTCAGTATCAACATCAGAAATAGATTGATAAACTGCTGAAACACAACTTGACTTTCAAGATCACAAATGAAAAAAAAAACATATAAAATGATGTATTTTCAAAAACAGAATTTC